CATAATTTTGACAGTTCCCCATTTGGGTACTTGGACCCAACGGGAGATTAAACGGAGAAGTCACGGCGATCGCCGAACGGCAGCGCTGACGCACAGTCCATCCTAAGCGAAGGCGTTTCGCTTACCGCTGTTTGGGCCGGTTACCCTAAGGCCTTCATGCAGCAAACCCACAAAAACCATGGTAGTGGTATTCAGTGGCTCCTTCCGCTACCTCTGAAAGGAGGGTGCTTCCAAAAAAGATCCTCCGCACATACCAAAACATACCACGCAATCGATACAAGATCAACTCCCCTAAAACTGATAAACTTTTTGTAATCCACAGCTTGGGGGCTTTAGGGTTTAGGCTAGATGGAATACTCATTACCTACTGTAAGCCACCTCATAACTTCCACGCTCGGTCACGTTTGATTCTCCATTATATTGGAGATGATCTCCCTAGATCCTCTAATGCACGTATATAGTAACTGTATAACCCCTTAAATAAGCCCTAGATAGCAAGGGCAAACCCAGCGTCACGCTCTGATTCGTCAGAGATCGGATGGTCGGCCACAGCCAGTCGGCCTCCCAGAAATCAGCACCCCGGTCCTCGCCTGGGCTGGGGGTTCAGGGTGAAATAGGGCTCACATAGGTGGCTATATGAGCCATAATCTAAACTCCTTAAAGGGGGTTATATAGGGGATTATATAGGGGACTACTATAGGGATTATTATAGGGGATACTAGGAGTTTAGACTATAGCTCATATGGGGTGTACTTCAGGGTTTCATGTCAGGTTTACATACTCGGTTTCGGGGGGCACGAGGTAGCGCTTTCGGATGACGATCCGGGCAGGGACGCTTTAAGGCTCATCGAAATCAGGCCTGTGGGGATTTGAGGATTCGGGGAATAATGGGTCCTCTGCGCCACTTGCTTTCAGAAAGCCTGAACGTCCAAAGCCTGCAGAAACCTGCTGCAGAGAATTTTACATAAGCCACCATTCGGGGTGAGGTCAAGGGAGGTCGTATTAACACAGAAACATGAGTCCAGTCGCAGTTTGTACCATAGCTCCTGCTGCCCATGCCACTTTCTTCGGGAGCTTCCGTGTCAGACTTGGACAACCAAGCCTGGAGATCCTCCAGGCGCCGGGCTGCATGGCTGGTTTGGGGTAAGATTCTACTGACATAAGCTGGCTATGAGGTGCATCAGGGAATAATGTTGGCATGTATTCAAGCTTCTGCATTAGGAGTAGGGCATGCATCCCTTGTTCTTCCCACAAATAGCAGTTGGTCAGTGGTTCATGTGTAGGGCCCGCTGGCGGTTTGAGAGCCCAACTGTTGGCGACCACGTGCTGATGCTGCCAGGATGACCCACAAGTCCACAAGCGAACTGCATTGATAAGGTATAGTCCCCCTTAAGTAGATAGAATATGGCTTCGGGTATGTTGTAATTAATAAGGTCGCCATATACCCCATATTTGAGGGGGACTATAATTGATAAGTGTCCGCTCTCTGGTATTCATCTTGCGATACATGTGAGACGGATTATGAAAATGTGGGAAGTGCACGGAAACGAGACCTCTGTGATTCTTGAGGGGGTCCTCCAAATCTAAGGCATGCTTGATGGCGATGTCACCCACTCCATCAATTGAGCTCCGCCACATGCGGTGTGCCACCTTTGCACTATGTGGGGACCTAACTAAATAATAACCAACATCATGTTGAAGTCTATTTGACGTACAGCATATACCATAATTATACACGGAATCTAGAACCACACTATTGGGGATAGGCCTCTATAGAACACGGCTACGTCTCGAATGCCCCCACCCCTCTTTTGTGTTACGTAAATCAAAAGGCAGCCCCTGCTGTACGGACTCTCAATGAGACCCTCGACCGGCCCAAGCAATGTATTTTCATTTTTCAGCTCACGCGGGGCTTGTGGTTCCTATTGACCCTAACACACCCCACGTGCCCACCTCGTCTTTGCTGTAGCGAAAAGAACATGGGACCCAGCGTGGGGTGAGTGCCATAGATGAAGTCTCTGTTGCCGCCACACAGCATCTGCCGGGCTTGGCGCGCCTCGTCAGCGTTGCTTTGCAGGCTCGTGGAGACGAAGAACCATACCGTTGTGACCAGTGAAATCAACTTCAGAACGCTCTGTGCATCAACACCCTTCCACATCTTCCGTGTGCCGACATCAAGCGGCTGAATAGAGCTTATGTACAGCAGCATACGCCTTGGAGCGATGACTCGGAACAGTACGTCATCGACCTCCAGCACGAAGTCAAGCGCCACAGCATTCAGGAAAATGTCAGCCGTGTTACGTGTTTTGCACAAGCATAGTGCCCCAGACACGCCAAGCAGAACCTTACATGCCCTCTTGTCGAAAATCAAAGTGGAATCAAAAAAGAGTCTAAGACCCAAAAAGCTCAACAGTATTCATCTGCGCCCTAAGGAGCAGCGATCGCGAAGCGACACAGAAGAATGACGGTGAGCACCGATAGTCGAGAATAGCTGATGCTGTGGAAGTTACGCTCGCCCTCGCGGACACGCATTACCTGAACTCACAACGAAACTGTCTCCATACTGTTTAATCCTCTCATGTTCAAGGAGGAAATTCTGGAGGTCCTAATCATGTCCGATTTTCTGTGGATTATCTTACATCAAGTTATCACATCAAAATATGCTCCTCAACACCTACTTCACAGCAGAAAAAAGCAAGAGAATGAGGAGATCCCTGTTTCGGATTACACATTCTTTATTTATTCCTGTTTGTACAGATTCCTAAAGGTCCAAGTACCCCAGTATTGGAGTTTTAGGTACCCTAAAGCCTTGTTATTTCGGTATATTTGGGTACTTGGACTCTTAGGAATTCTTTTAAAGAACCTCAAAAACACAAAGAAACTAGGTCGTCATGGAAATCCCTACTGTAATCTACTCAGATTTCCATTCTAGTCTTTTGTATAAAGCCTGCCTTATCCTGCCTCTAAAGCATTCTAGTCACATCAACATACTGCGAACGCAGAAGCTCTTATGCCAACCCTCATAATGACCTCTTCCCATCAACAGCACCTCCCCAAACTCCCACTACTACATCATTGTACTATATTAAAAAGTTCAATTAATAGATTTCTATCATATTCACATATTTTGTTTTTATATACGTGTATATATCTATATATATATATAGAGAGTCTATATCGATAAAATGTGGCTGGGAGGATGCATTGTTCGGAGAAGTGGATTCTGTTCCGCAACACAATTATTGCAATCCAACGTGTCCAAAAGATCCCCCGAAGGCTTGCCCAGATATGTATACTGTATACGTATACATTTTCATGCATCTTACGCAATCTTCGCTTCTTCTTACTCTTCCTTCTAAGCGCTACGCCGCAACCCCCCCCAATAAGGAGAGTCATCGGCCCTCGCGAGGCCTGGAGGACTGAAAAATCAGGATCCCCTTTTTGAAGAGCTTGGAATGCGTGCACTTCTTCTATGACTCTATGATGCCGTACGGCTGCGGGGTCTCCCAAATCAAATTCCTCAGTACTCCATGGAGCTGTAAAGCTTGATTCCTTGACTGGCTGTGAACATATGGCGGTTCCCCAGATTTGCCAGTGCTTTGCTTCTCAGGCCATAAATAGTCTAGCACTGTCAAACGCAGCCGCAAAGATCGAAGACGCAACCAATCACAAAGAAACCTCTGAGAGACCTCCCGCATTAAACTAATCACTCCCCTGGCCTTGACAGCTTTGAGCTTGACCAAGGAGCCAGCGTCTCGTCGCGGGGCAGTCGAAACAGCGCCACCCCAAGGCGGCCCACGTTTTGAAGCTCTTTGGCCTTATCCAGGCTTGGGGACCCTAAACCCTTAAAAGGCCTCACCCCTTGAACCCTACACCCTTAAACCCCTAAACCCTGAAACCCTTCACTGTACAACTATGAGGCCTAAGCAAGCCCTAGTCAGGCTCATCTGGGTCTTTTTTCAGGGGTGGGGGAGTCAGAGGGATGTTGTACAGGGCTTCAGAATGAAAAGGAATTCCCACCACTGAACTTCAGGTGAATGTACAAATAGGCCGGCCCCTTCTCTGTTTCATTTGCTTTTTGAACTTGTGTAATGTCAATTTGGGCACCTGTCTATGACAACCGCAATTGAGGTAATGACTTTGAGATTTCAGAACAAATGGACCGAGCCCTAAACCCGAAACCCTACAACCCAAGCCCTAGACCCTAAAACCCTCAACCCTAAACCCTTTGCAAAT